ACTTCTTGTTCTAATACCAGAGCCTGCTCGGGACCCACTAGCGTGGGGGTGACCCCGTTGAATCGAGGCGGACGAGAACCGAACTGGATTCCGTAGGCTCTTTCTACAGTACGCAGGACCCATTGAGATACATTTGGCAGTAGTTTCCACGCTGCTAAATAATCTACTAAGGGAACCAGTCTCTCGAGACTGGCCTCTGGTGTCTTTGGAGCTGCTAGCTGGGTGCCCTGAAGCGGCGGACCGGCAGGAGATCGCCGAACTAGCTGTTTGAGAGACCCCCGAAGGGGTGGCAAGGCTCTTGGCTCCGCTACGGTTCCGGGCGGAAAATACCGAGAGAAACCTTCGCAGGAGACCGCTGCGCCCTGGCACACTGGCAGGGTTGGCAGAACGGTTTAGACATCTTTTTTCTCTGCTGGAGCTTATATTTTGAATGCTTGTGCACTTTTTTTGGACAGACAACAATAAATAAGACTCACAGAACATAAATCGTGACCGACACACACAGAGAGCTTTGCTGAATGACAGAAAGCTAGCGCCGGCTGCACCTCACGTGCTTTTAAAGCTTCCTGGTCATGACATCACCCGCCGCTGACGTCTCGCCCATCGTTCGACTGATTACACATATGATTCAGAGCTTGGTATCGCTGAAGGCGTTCCCCTAGCGTTTTCCGACGCAGCTCGAGTTCCCGAAGGGGAACTATGTCTTTTGAGTTTTAATAATTATTTATTTTGGTCAAAGAAAAATTACTGTAGTAAACCAAAGAAGAGGGAAAGACATGCTTGTGTCAGATGATGAATCATGTTTTTCTCCTCTGACCAGAAGAGGAAAGAATAAACAAGATACAGTAGACATTTTTTTATATTAAACGTTTTTGTAGTAACATTTATATAATATATTTGATTGTAATAAAACCTCTTCTGTAGACTTTCAGACTGCAGTATCACTGAAGAAGGTTATAAAGCTCTGGCTTCAGCTCTGAGATCAAACCCTTCACACTTGATAGAGCTGAATCTCACAGGAAATGATCCTGGACAATCAGGAGTGAAGCAGCTCAGTGATCTACTACAGGATCCAAACTGTCAGCTGAAGACACTGAGGTGAGATGTGATGTAATACAATATCAATTAAATGCAGGCTCATACATACTTCATGTGATAAAGTAATACAAAATAAATAATGTGCAGGTAAATTATTTCTAAAAACATTTGTGTAATACAATTTGTTGCAGTAAAGTAAATCTAATGGCACTTTTCCACTGCGTGGTATGACTTGGCTCGGCATGGCTCAGTACGACTACTGAGGCCCTGGACCACTATGTAGTTATAGTTGCGCCGCCTCTACTGTCGCGACTCCTGAAAAATGTTTTCATTCCGCGTCACCCCATCAAGCTCTCGCTGGATCCGCTACTCTGCTATCAACGAGAGGAATGTCTGTACTTCCTCAACAGACAACAAAACAGCCACTTTTTGGTTGTTAAAAAAGCTGCGCTCGTTCAAAACAGTTGCATTCGATCCTTCGCTGGATGTGCTGATTTAAATCTAGTGGTTCTCTTGTGTTTGTTTCGCAAGTTCAGTGACACAGGTAGTGACAATTCTTTCCGGCCAATCCGTCACTTGGAACCCCAACCGAGGTGGTACTAAAAAAAGTACCAGGTACCAGGTACTGTACCCAGTGGGAAACCCCCCAAAAGTGAACCGTACCGAGCCATACCATGCAGTGGAAAAGCGTCATAAGACAAACCCTTTCACACAGTTTCAGAATCAGATGCTATTTTTCACCAAGTTTAGTAGAAAACTGAATTGAATCCTGCTTCATCTTTCTTTCTTTAGGTTTTTGGGACCTGATGCAGATGAATTCTGTCAGTATGTGACTGGAATTGTGGGTAAAAACCCATTACTCCTGAGAGAACTGAATCTGAGTGAATGTGAACTAGGAGACACACGAGTGAATCAGATCACTGCTCTGCTGCAGGATAAACACTGTAAACTCAACACACTGATGTAAGTTTTTTTTTATATATTTGTTACAGTGACACTTAAAATCTTGCTGCTAGATGTGTTTTATCTATCTTTTATAAGAGAGTGCTGACTGAAAGACCATATAGGACTTTTGTAATGTGCTTATCATCATCATCATCCCCACCAGTAATTTTCAACTGTCAACTAATACATACTGGGAAATATTAAGATGAAACTAAATCTGTTTTCTCAAATTTGCAGTCTGAATAACAGCGATATCACAGAAGAAGGTTGTCGTGTTCTGGCTGCAGCTCTAAATTCAAATCCATCAAATCTGAAAGAGCTGAATCTGAGTAAGAATAAACTAGGAAACTCAGGAATGAAGATTATGTTGACTCTGTTTGAAAATGTACAGTGTAGACTGGAAAAGCTGAAGTAAGTATTTTAAAAGTGTATCCCATTAATTAATCTGCTTATAACGGGCATTTGGAAGGTTCACTTAATTTTACATTTGCAGAATTTCCAACATTTTTGTGGACAGATGTTTACAGCATTTCACCAGATTTGTAGTCCTGATGTGAACTAAGCACAGAGATTTAAAGGTCACTGTGCAGTTTTCCACCAAAATAAAAGCTTGAGGCTTTAACATTCGAAGATAAAGAAATAAGACGTAAATATTACTATTATAACTGTATCATTCCAACCATTCCCCAAACTGCTTGTTCAGTGTAGGGTTGTAAGCATGGTTTAGGCTTAAGTATTTTACCATAAAATGCAAAATATTACTATATCAAATATACTGTATGTATATATATATATATATATATATATATATATTACTTTACAGTATGATTATCATGCAAATCTCATATTGGTGGATAAAAGTAATGCTAAAGCAATTAGTTGCATAATTGTGTATATATAGATTATTTTTTTTATTTGTTCTCTCTTCTACAGGTTGAACTGCATCAGTATTACAGGTGACGGTTGTGCTGCTCTGGCATCAGCATTTAATTCAAACCTCAGAGAGCTGGATCTGAGCAAAAATCAAGTAGGAAACTTAGGAGTAACAGAAATCTCCAGTGTGCTGAGAAATTCACAATGCAAACTACAGATACTCAGGTCTGAATTTAGTTCATTTAAATATGAATCAGTGTACAGCTAAAGCTCCAACTGGTCTGTAAATTGGCATTGTGTAACAAGGAACAAGTCAGTACTGTTACTTACAGTAATGAAAAACGTGTTTGTGTAGAAAGATTTAGAAAGTATTGACAAACAGATTGCATTTTTGAGGTGCTGGGAAATATAAATATCCAATTGGTGTGAGGAATGCTAATAGTAATGAAGTTATGTTTTGATCTTTGATTTTTACTGATGTTGTTTTTGTCTTTCTGTAGACTTTCAGACTGCAGTATCACTGAAGAAGGTTATAAAGCTCTGGCTTCAGCTCTGAGATCAAACCCTTCACACCTGATAGAGCTGGATCTCAGAGGAAATGATCCTGGACAATCAGGAGTGAAGCAGCTCAATGATTTACTACAGGATCCAAACTGTCAACTGAAGACACTGAGGTGAGACATGATGAAATAATACAAAATAAATGACATTCTGTTGAATTATTAATACAAATATTATTTCACTAAAGCAATCTTTTGTGTCAAGGTGAATTCAAGATGAACCATTTCTCACTGTTTCCCATCAGAATCAGATGCTATTTTTATTACACCAAGTTTAGTTGAATTGAATTGTGCTTCATCATCTGTTCTGCAGGTTTTTCAGTCCTGCTGCAGATGAAGCCTGTCAGTATGTGAATAGAGTTCTGGGTGAAAACCTGTTACTCCTGAGAGAACTGAATCTGAGTGAACATGAACTAGGACTCTCAGGATTGAACAAACTTGCTGCTGTACTGCAGGATATACACTGTAAACTCAACAAACTGATGTAAGTTTTATCATTATCATGAGAATTTTTTATACTTTTGAACTTGCTGCTGGGTGTGTTTTATGTATTGTTTACCAGAGCATGTTGACTTTTAACTAACTCTTGATAAATATTTAGTTGAAACTGTTTTTATTTGTATCTGTATTTTCTGTTAACACAGTCTGAATAACAGCGATATCACAGAAGAAGACTGTCATGCTCTGACTGAAGCTTTAAATTCAAACCCTTCAAATCTGACAGAACTGAATCTGAGTGGGACTAAACTCAGAAACTCAGGAATGAAAATCTTCTCGACTCTGTTTAAGAATGAAAAATGTAGTCTGAAAAACCTGATGTAAGTATCTTAGTCAATGTGTACAACAAAGCCCAACTACTAAACAAATATTTATCATGCAAATCTCATGTTGGTGGACTAAAATAGTACCGGTAATAGCCAAAGCTACTAGTTGCACAATTGTATGTAAAGCTTATTTGTTTTTCTCTTTTCTACAGGTTTAATTGCATCAGTATTACAGAAGAAGGTTGTGCGGCTCTGGCGTCAGCATTTAATTCAAACCCTTCAAACCTGATAGAGCTGGATCCGAGTGGAAATAAACTCGGAAACTCTGGAGTGACTGAAATCTCCAATCTACTGGGAAACTCTCAGTGCACACTGCAGATACTCAGGTTTGAATTTGGAGAATTTAAACATGAACAGAAAATTTCTGTCAGTAATATATTTGACAGTAGTAAAAATCAGTAGTATGCTTTTGTCTAAAAACATTTTGGCAACATTGGCACATGTTGGATTTTTTTGGGCACAGACAATTATAAATACCATAATCTGAAAAATAAAATCTTGTTTTTACTAAATGAGTAACTGAATACATTTGAGACATTGTTTTTGTCTTCCTCTAGACTTTTAGACTGCAGTATCACTGAAGATGGTTATAAAGCTCTGGCTTCAGCTCTGAGATCAAACCCTTCACACCTGATAGAGCTGGATCTCACAGGAAATGATCCTGGACAATCAGGAGTAAAGGAGCTTGATGATTTACTACTGGATCCAAACTGTCAGCTGAAGACACTGAGGTGAGATGTGATAAAATAATACAATATAAATGATATGCACGCTCAATATTCATACAAACTATTACTTCAGTAATACAATAATCTGCAATTTGGTGCATCTAAGTGTTCTGTGCCATTGTTGACAAATGTCAGCACAGTTTAGTTATGGTACAAGCAACAGTACAGGTTAAAAAGACATTATAGATGTGCTGATATTCAGTAGTTTGGTATTAACTTTTTCTGAACACACATAATTTCCATCAAGCACAGATTCGCAACACTGTGTCACTCTGCAGCAGATATGTGAGTCTCCAGTTCTTCACAAACATGCTGTGTCTAGAAAGATCTTGAGACCAATCAGAATGCTAATGTCACTGTCCATATTTGTATTGAAAATCAATATTTTGCCCATCTGCTCCTCAGGACATTGCGTTTCTTTAAAATAAATATTTGGACGTCAAAAAGTCATACTTTTTTATGTTCAAAGTAAAACAGTAACTAGAGCTTGTCATTAGAAACAATAATGTATTCTGTCTTAACAACATGTTTTGTAAGGCAACGGACATTTAGTTCAGAATTAAACTGAATCCTACTTTTGCAGGTTGTTGGGTCCTGCTGCAGATGAAGCCTGCCAATATGTGATTAAAGTTCAGGGTGAAAACCCGTTACTCCTGAAAGAGCTGAATCTGAGTTTACATGAACTAGGAGACACACGAGTGAATCAGATCGCTGCTCTACTGCAGGATAAACACTGTAAACTCAACGCACTGATGTGAGTATCTTACATCATTTAACATGTATTTGATAATACTATTTTCTCATTTGTTTGAGCCAGAGGTGTCACAATATGACGTTTTAAAATTAAACATGCCATTAAAAACACAAATAATTATAAAATGGCATTTAGCTTTAAAAGGTAGGCCAAGTCAGTTTGATCTTGGGTCAGTAATTATTTCATTTACTGTAGAGGGAGAACAATGGTCACGTCAAGTCACGTCGGTGACCGACGAATTGGGATCTCGCTTCGAGAGACCAATATACTTAGAGTGTAAACTAAACGAGCCAATGCACATTGGCATGCGATGATTGCATCCAGCT